TCAACGTGTCACTATTTGACTCGTCTCAACAGCTTCTTCAAATACTGAGGTATAGATACTGGAAGGGGTGTGGAACGGGGGAAAGTGTCCACAAAATCTGAGATTTTAAAAACAACACCACCACCACCACTACTCCACACAACCTGGGCTCCTCCTTCAGTTCCCGTCCCAAAACATCCTAAAAGATAAAGAATGAAAGGGAGAAGAAGCGTATTTTGGATCCAATATAAATAAATATTGGATGGTTATATGAACCGTGAACACATAAGAGGGTTTTGTGCTTTCTGCTTTGACCTTCTAAGCATATTTTCAAGCACAAGAATTAGGCATTTCTCAAGAAATTACCAATCTTGATGGTCAAATGTGGGTCAAAGGCCATTCTTCTACAACCCCCATCTCTGAGGGTAAAAATGATTGATAACCAAATGAGAATATTTGATGACAGGCCAATTTTACTCAACTTATTTTTTAGTAATGGGAAAGTAAAGAGAGCCATATTTTTTCAAGGGCTTTTAAGCATTAAGGTCAGGTAGACATGGGATGGGTCTCCATTCTTGACTATCCAAAAGAAACAAACCCTAGATCCAACGTTTATGTAGTCATACTACATAATCTCAGTCTTATGTCTAAAAAAAAAAAAAAATCCTCATTAAGTCTCCAGGTATATGGAACAGGGATCATAAACTTTAGCAAGAAGCACATTTTTAGATTACTCTTAGCCCAAAAGGTATCCGTGAAGCCTGAGGAGCCAGGGCGAGCTCAGAAGGGCGGGAAGAAGAGGCAACCCTGGAAGGCACGCTCAGAGGGCTGAGAATTGCCCGGCGCTTGGGAGCACCCAGGCCCCCGGGGCTGGCTCGAAGCTCCCAGGAGGTTAGACCGCGAGTGGTAAGGCGGGAGGGCGGGTGTGTTTGCCGAGTAAGCCGGGCCAGGGGCCGAGAGAGGGGGCCGAGTACCTCACCGCCTAGATGCCTAGGGAGCCGGATAGGAGAGACGCCTTGAAGCCAAAGTCCTCATCACTTCCGGCATGGCGAAGCTCAATGGAAAGGAACCTTTGTGGGCCCCTTAGCCCACCTTGCCTGGGCTTTGGAGAGTCTGGGTGTTCTCCTCCCCCACCTTCTTCAGGGTCTGCTAGTAACCCTCCTCCTCCCTGTTGAGCACCCACTGGCGCCCTTGGGCTGGGTTCTTTTGATCCCCGGAGTAATTCAGGGCACCCTGTTCGCCCTTGAACGTGCCTCTGGCGTGTCCCAAATGCCACTAGGCGCTGCCAGCCCGCCGGGCACCCGGTCCTTCGGCAAGGAGGCCGCCCTCGCGGAAACCACGCGGGACTGGCGAGAGGTAAAGCAATCTCAAGGGCAATAAAAAGCAGCTCAGTGGGTCCCCCAGATCCTTTCTTGTCCACCTCACCGTCCCCGGCTTACCCCCGCCCTCCGCCGGCAGAAACAATCAGACAAAGGCTCAAAAGCCAGGAAATGTCCAATTCACTTCCCTTGGAGTTTATTAATCGCCCACACCCATCACAAGGAAACTTGGCTGTGCTCAGCGAGGAACGGAGGGCTCCGGGGGGCCTCGGTCACCACCAGCCCTGCGCAGCGGGAAGCCAGAAGCGCCAGCCCCGGCATCCCCGGGACCGGGTCTTATTGCCTCAAGGCAGCTGGGCGCGGCGGGGCCGCCGGGTTCGGGCCAGCTCGGCGTTTACGGTACCTCCTCGGCCTCCTCCTGCCTTTGTTTGGCTCTGCAAGGAGGCTGGGATTCCGGGTGCAACAGGGAAGTCTGAAAATCGATGCTCCCCAAGAGCACCTGTTGACCCCAGAAAGGGCATTTCCATAGACTGCCACGTTCTGCCCCCACACGAGTACCTCCGCCGCAAAAGCGGACAAGGGCACGAGTTCTAGGGTCGGCCCTGACAACCGGCGCCACCGCGGAAACACGGGGCTCCATCCACATATGGGAACTGGCGTAACGACTTCTACACTCTCCTGCTTTTTTTTTTTTTTTTAAACCATTATTATTATTTTCTTCAACGCCCTGGAAATCGCTGGTGTTTATTTAGGAAGTGCGACACAGTTATTGGGTCCTTAGAAACTCGGGATGTTAAGGGGGTTTGATTTGTCTCCCAAATGGCTTGAAAAAGAAACGGCGCACCTGGGGTCAGGCGGGTCATCACAATAACAAAAAGCGCCTCTACAAAATAAAAAGCTCTTTTATAAAGAAAGGCAATCCCGGAAATCCACTGCGAGCCTTCCTGGTGACCATCTAGCTAGGCCTATTCTCAGGTTTAATTGGCAGGCAGTTTATTGGCTCCTTATTGGTGTTGATTGAAATTTTGCTCCCAGTTCTTTCTTTTAAGAATTAGCATCTCAAGTCGATTTACCTGAGTCAATTATCTTTTTAGAGTCTGGGTTTGGCCATAAATTTGCAAATATTCATTAAACTCACTTTGTAAATCTCCCTCTTTCCAATCGCCACCCAAATCTCTATTATTTCCTATGAAAGTCTTTTCTTTTTTAAGGCTTCCATAAAAAGAAATTGATCCGGGAGCTGTATTTGAATTAAGACATATTAAATCGATGACAGATACATATCACACTGTGTTTAACAAGAGTTGTACAAGGAGGCGGGTTCCAGATTCCGCACGGCTCTGCTGCACCATTATTCACATTTTTACAGCCTTTTCCTTCATGCCTTCACCCATTAAACCATTAAATTTCAGCAATTCAATAAAACAAAGCAGTTATAATTTTGAGGAAAAGCTATTTTGAAGGGGGTGGAGGTACCCGTTTTATTGCACAATAAAAATGCTCAACAATCCATATTAAAAGGCGGGTTATATTTATTTTCTTCTTTATTTATTCGTTCATTATTTGGTTTGTTTTTTACTTATAACCTGCGGGATTGAACGCAAAGCTGTTATGGAAGTAGTGATGATGGTTGCCAAGGAATTCAAATAAGGGGAAACTCCTTTGAAATGTTCTTAGAGAGGATGAAGACACTGGTGACAAATCCAGATATGATGCTTTCCCAGAAACCCATCCATAGAGAAGGCAGCCCTCGCTACTTTTGCCTGGTTGGCTTGAGACATTTAAAATCTTTGAGAGGAGAATTGTGAAAGGATTCATCCTCTCCAAATACAGATGCGGATTTTGTCGCTGCTGTTTATTAATTTTTTTCCGTTGTGTTTGCACTCACGCTTTTCTTATTTGCCCGTATTTGAACTTCATGGAGCCTTAGAGAAAAAACCTATTTGAAATTTGATTGTAGTATTTCCTTTGTTTGCTTGTCAGTTTTATAAGAGGAATGACACTCCCAAGGCTCCCAGGGAAGTTCCCTGTTGAACATTGCTCAGACCGATATAAGTGGGGCTATCGCATCAGTTTTTTTGAAAATATTTCTTACCACTTCCCAGGACCATCTCCCAGGAACATAAAGATGATGGCTTTATGCAGTCTATTTTTACTTGGACTGCAAACGAATTAAGCTGGTAACTTGTTTTTTTGTATCCCCGAAGCAGGGGAAAAATCACGTTTTAGTCATTACCACTTTTTTACAAATAATTTTATGCAGGGCAACAAAATAAAAATTAAAACCCGTGACTGTAATGTTTGAACATCTTGGAACATCACAAAATTTTAAGATGCTTTCTTTTCAAGAACTGAAGTGACACTTTTGGGCAGCAACAACCCTAAAGTTTGGAGATGCCATATTTCTCCACCCTCCCCCCCGCAAAGTGATGCAGGAACCTATTTCTCTTTTTAAAGAGGTGTGATAACAAATTCTTTGGAAAGTATAGGGCTTGCCTTTTTTTTTTTTTTTAAGCCAGTTTATATCTTTTTCCCAATAAGACAACTCGCCTACTCTATTAGGGTTAGTCTATTGCTGAATAAATAGCAAAGGTGTTGCTTGATTTTTAAATATTCATTTTACTGGATCAATTTTAATTTGTGGTCCTTTCAATGAAAATGAGGCACACATATGGAGTGATTTCTGGGCCGGAAAGAAACTCTGCGTAAAGGACATTGTTTACTTAGCTGCTTCCCTCTGGAGAGATGCCGTTTGGCCTGCTCTGCCACTGTATCTCAGAGAGGCAAAAGTTAGAACCGCTGCCCGATGGTCTCCCACCCCCACCCCCGTAGATCTAATTGGAAGTGGCAGATCTAGAACCGACAAGCAGTGAGATTACACTTCGAGCCAACTCCTTTGAACCACGTTGAAAAGGACTGCATGAGCTAAAAAGTCGAGGTAAAACGGTTCCTCTTCGGGAAAGATTTATTTTGACTTCACCTGGTGTCTCGCGGAGCCAAATCACTTAAATTGTTTTGCAACCAATAGGACTTTAATATCCTTCCTCATCTCGTCGCCCGTCGCTGCGCCCTACGGGAGCGCTCGGCAGAGTGGGTGTCCTTCCCAGATAAGAAGTTTCTAGCATCCCCTCTACAAGTACGACAACAGGTACACTCTGTTCACCTTCCTCCTCCAGAGAGCAGCCCAGGGCTCTTCCAACGGAGGAGGTGTAAAGTGTTTGCATGCTGGAGGAGACGCTGCGTGCGGTGAGGCGGGGGTTTTTGAAGTTGGGGGCTCTCCTCCTCCCGCCTTTTGTCCCGGGGTCGGGGGGGTCCCCAGCCCTTACCCACGCCGCGCCCTTCGGCCGCGTGCCGGCGCACGCTCTCCGAAAGGCGCGTCATGGGAACGCGGGGCGCTGCGCGCGCAGGTCCAGCGCAAACTTTCTCCAAGTGCAACTTGGGCATCCCCTGGAAGGCGGGGACGCAGGGCTGCAGGAGAGGAGGGGGCGCCAAGCGAAAACGAAGGCGGCTGCGAGCACGGGGGCGGATCCCTGCTGGGCCCGAGGCCTGAATGGGAGCCAATCCGGCAGCCGGGGCTGCTGCCAATCACGCTGTTCCCTCCAATCCCACCCGTGCCATTTCCAAAATCTCGGTCCCACTGTGCAGCTCAAATGTGGTGTTCGCTCTGCCAATCGCTGGAGGACAGAGTGGAACAGGAATAAGCAGAGTTAGGAGGCCAGGACAAAGAAGTTAAAGAGAGCCTAATATATACATGTTTTTGAAGGTGGGCAGAGGGAAAAAAAAGTCCCCCCAGTGAGGGTCTATGGGTCTGATTGTGCGGTTCTGATGGATCCCCCCTTAAGCAAGAGGAACCCGCCAGCGCTGAGATTAGCGGATTTGGCAACGGCTCAGGCCAGGCCGCTTCAGAATATGACAGGCTTCCCGGCGCTGGCCAGCCCGCCCGCCCACTCCCACCTCCGCGCCTCAGCCACGCACCTCCGCCCTCGGGACCTGAGCGCTGACCCCGGCGTGGCCATCACTCCGCTCGGACCCGAGCACATGGCTCAGGCGAGCGCGCTCGGCCTCAGCCCTCCCTCCCAGGCGCTCCCGGCACAGCCCGAGGCGCCGGCTGCCGCCGCCCGCGCCGCACTCTCGGTCGCGCACCCCGGCGCCTGCACCTACCCGGGTGGCGGGGGCAGCAGCCGCGCGCAGCCCTCCGCGCCCCCGCCCCCCGCCCCCCCTCTTCCTCCCTCCCTTTCACCCCCTCCTCCTCCCCCTCCCCCTCCTCCTGCCCTCTCGGGCTACACCACCACCGACAGTGGCGGCGGCGGCAGCAGCGGCAAAGGCCACAGCAGGGACTTCGTCCTCCGGAGGGACCTTTCCGCCACGGCCCCCGCGGCGGCCATGCACGGGGTCCCGCTTGGAGGGGAGCAGCGGTCTGGCACCGGCTCCCCCCAGCACTCGGCCCCGCCTCCCCACTCGGCCGGCATGTTCATCTCCGCCAGCGGCACCTACTCCGGCCCGGACGGCAGCGGCGGCGGGGGCCCGGCGCTCTTCCCTGCCCTGCACGACGCTCCGGGAGCCCCCGGCGGCCACACGCACCCGCTCAACGGCCAGATGCGCCTGGGGCTGGCGGCGGCCGCGGCAGCCGCCGCGGCGGAGCTCTACGGCCGCACCGAACCGCCCTTCGCGCCGCGCTCCGGGGACGCGCACTACGGGGCGGTGGCGGCGGCTGCGGCCGCCGCCCTGCACGGCTAC